TACACATATATATTTACTTTATTTGAACTTTGTTACAAAAAAGGAGTTACATATGGGTTACAAAGATATATATAAAATATATATATATATATATATTATATATATATATATATATATATATATATATATATATATATATATATATATATATATATATATATATATATATATATATAGTTATAGTTTGGTGACGTGGACTCCATGAGGAAGTCTTGAACCGTGTACGTGTTGTATTTGAGATGCGGCTTTGGAGCTTCTACTATGATTTCCTCGTCTGAGTACTCCGTAATTATTAATCTTACCTTTTCGGTCATATTTAACAACACATGTTTACAAGAAAGACTGATACCATTTTATATATATATATATATATATATATATATATATATATATATATATATATATATATATATATATATACATACATACATATATACATATATATATATACATACATAAATATATATATATATATATATATATATATATATATATATATATACATACATATATATATATATATATATATATATATATATATATATATATATATATATTTAAATATATATATATATTTATATATATATATATATATATATATATATATATATATATATATATATATATATATATATACATATATATATATATATATATATATATATATATATATATATATATATATTTATATATATATATATATATATGTATATATATATATATATATATATATATATATATATATATATATATATATATATATATATATATATATATATATATATATATATATATATATATATATATATATATATATATATATATATATATATATATATATATATATATATATATATATATATATATATATATAAAATGGTATCAGTCTTTCTTGTAAACATGTGTTGTTAAATATGACCGAAAAGGTAAGATTAATAATTCTAACACGAAATTCTCAATATTTCTTATGTTCCTTTTCACTGCCGATGGCAATTGAAAAATCAATTCTCCAAAATTCAGCTTTATTTCTAGTCTGACGCGACGCCTGAACGCGTTTCGTAATAACTTATTATATTTTCAAAGACTTAAGTTTACACACACAACTGTAACCTGTAAACAAGCTGTTGTTGTTGTTGTTTAAGATTCACTACTCAAAACAATAAGTTCTAGTAACACGCGATGATTAGCCCGTAAGTGGAGGCTCTTTGGAGCCATTATCTGTATCAGTGGCTGATACTAGAGATCTGGCGATGGATGGGGGTCTTCATGATGGTTTTCAGCCTTGGGGGCTGGCTATACCAGTTATGGAGTTAGTGGGATTAGTGTGAACCTCTAGGTTTTCCGTTTTTTCTTTGCCTGCGACTTTGGCTGAGCAGTGCTGTCGTTATAGTTTGGTGACGTGGACTCCATGAGGAAGTCTTGAACCGTGTACGTGTTGTATTTGAGATGCGGCTTTGGAGCTTCTACTATGATTTCCTCGTCTGAGTACTCCGTAACCTCCGTAGCGGGCGTTTTTTTTCTTTCGCCTCGCTGGTGGTGCTGTTATCGTTTGTAGACAGCACGTCTGCTAGCGCGGCTGCTGAGATAGTGATGGTGATGGTGATAGTAATGATGCATATGGAGGGAGCCGGTCGGCCGAGCAGACAGCACACTGGACTTGTGATCCTGTGGTCCCGGGTTCGATCCCAGGCGCCGGCGAGAAACAATGGGCAAAGTTTCTTTCACCCTATGCCCCTGTTACCTAGCAGTAAAATAGGTACCTGGGTGTTAGTCAGCTGTCACGGGCTGCTTCCTGGGGGTGGAGGCCTGGTCGAGGACCGGGCCGCGGGGACACTAAAGCCCCGAAATCATCTCAAGATAACCTTAAGAAGATGGTAGGAGTGTTGGGAGCTGGAGAAGGAATTACTTCTGTTTGTGTCGCCCGGGTCATGGGCGGTTCTGGAGTCGATGTTGAAGTTGACCGCATGGTCATCCTGGTGGTAGTCTCCGGAGTGGTAGAGGAGACAGTGAGATTTACGCTAGTGGCTATGATGGGGGCCAGGTTATTGTCTATGTATAATGTGTTTAGTTCACTGACAAAGCGCTGGTTGTCTGGTCCTGCTAGTCTTTCCGCTAGTCTAATAAGACCAGGAATAATGCCTGCACGTGATGCAGGGGGCTGTGAAGGAGCCTGTGGGACCTTGGGTCCCCAATGAGAAGGCTGTGTCGCCTACTGGGAGGAGCCACATGTTGGTAAGACTGGAAAGTCTTCTGGTCGATTAGTGAGAGCTAAGGTGGTGGGTTGAACGCTTGGGGCTTGGTCGAGGAGGTAGAAGGATTGTTTCTCTTGGCTTCAACCTGGGCCTTGATGCTTTCCTGTCTGCGAGGGCAGCGGTAGGAAATTGCAGGGTGATTGCCATCACAGAGCAAGCAGCGATGGACTGTTGCCTTGCATATGGAGTAGTGATGGTCCAGTGCGCACTGGCTGCACTTCTGGACAGGGTGCTGACACTTATTGGTCGGGTGGGAGAGCTCGTAGCACTTAAAGTACTGCTGGATCTCATGGTATCGTTCCTTTTTTATTTGGTGGGGTGGAATTTTTAAACCGAAGCAGTAGAATCCTTGTGTGGCAGCCTGGGTGGCCGCAGCTATGGTGGTGAACGTAATCTTCATTGATGTTTTGTCGGAGTTGCAGAACTCTAGTTTGAATACAGCCAGGTTTGGATTTTTGTCCTCGATATTGTCCTTGATATGATGTTGAGGTCGGTCAGAGATCCACTGGCTGGTCCTTCTGATAAAAACAGTTCTTCCGGCCAGGAACTGTCGTGGGAAGTGAGGATGTAGGTGGTGTTCTTTACGAAGAATGGCATCGTTAGTCAGGAGTTTTTCTAGCTCCTCTTCACATGAAAAGAAGAGCACGATATCTTCACCTTCCTGACTAATGTCAGCGGGTTCGAGGCCAGTAACCTTCTTCAGGATCTTTAAAATATTGCTTCTCCCGATAGCATGACCATCAAGTGGAGTAGCTCTGACTTTAAGACGTTTGGGTCGCATTGTGACCACACTGCTCCTAGTGGTGTGGTGAGAGGTATCAGACTGGACCACTGCCGGTCTGGACTGGACCACCTGAGGCTGTCAATGCTCTGTGGTTGCTCTGGAATGTCTCTGTAAACACGCAAACTTGTCCATACTTATACTCGCATTTGGGTGAGGTGATATGGTACAACAGTTTTGGGTGAGGTGAACAAACTTGTGACAAACACAAGACAAAACACGAAACTATGGGTATTAATTGGAAATGGGAACATAAGAATGGAAGTAACTGAGGAGGGCCTATTGGCCCATACTTCCTCTTCATGCTTCTATATTGGTTTGGAGTCTTGAAGTGGGTAGAATATAGTTGTGCATTATTTGGCTGTTGATTGCTGGTGTTAACTTTTTGATGTGAAGTACCTCGCAGATGACAAGCCTCCTGCTATCACTGTATCTATCGAAGATTTCTGTGTTGTTTGTTAAGATTTCTCTTAACCATCACCAGTGAAATCTTAACAAACAACACAGAAATCATCGATAGATACAGCGATAGCAGGAGGGTCGACATCTGCGAGGCACTCCGAGTTCGAGTCACTTCTGGGATGTTGGGTTTTCATTTGCATATATGCTTGGGGACCATTCAAGCTTGTTCGCATTTTTGTTGCTCACGTGGCCCCACTTAACTGAAGTGATTTGATGAAATAGCTATGCCCAAGATTACCATCAAAGTGCCTCCGGGGGTGGGGGGGAGGTGGTTCAAATATATTGAACCCATTTTCTTGTCTTTTCCTCTCAGAATTTCTGTTGAATCAATCCTGTTTTCTCTTCCTGCATCTCTGTTTTGGAATGCATGTTTGTGTTGCTTCATTGTATGTTACAAAATTTGGTATACATCTGATTTACTTCATTGCCTAGCATCAGGTTTGACCAATTAAGTTCACTGAAAAATTTTCTTAGTTCCCAATATTGTCCTCTCTTGAAATCGAGTTTATCAACTGCTTCAATGTCCCCATTTTCTTCTAAATTATATAAAAAGTATAGTTAATTTCCATCAAGACATGACCACTCTTTTCCAATGGATGAAGGTGCTGGATGTCAAATATCTCTTCTTCTTTCCTGATGAATATTAGATCCAATATTAATGGAACATCCCCTTCCCTCATTCTTGTGGCCTGCTTGACGTGTTGATACATGAATGTCTCCAGAATGAGGCTTACAAATCTGTCTGTCCAGATGTCCTCCGTTCTCGCTTCCTAGGCCTCCCAGTCGATTGCTTTCAAGGTGAAGTCCCCCAGTACCAACAATCGTAATTTAACTTTAACTGCTTTTACTATAATCTCACTTATCACCAATATGAAGCCCACACTCATTTGTCATCTAGTTTCTCCTTTGTTCATGTGTTGTTGCATGCTGGTGGGCTGTAGGCATTTACGATTAACAGTTTATCATCGTGACTCCAAATCTGCACTGCCATTATGTGAACTTCTTGAGGGAATTTCGATTTTTAACTCTCTTACCTTCAGTTGTTCTTTCACCAGCACAGCCACTGCCCCCCCCCCCTTCCTAGTTTTCCAGTCATGTCACCAAACTGAGTTGTCCCTTGGATTTACAACCTTATTTAAAATATTTTCTTCAGGTTTCGTCTCTGTTAGTGCGACAATATCTGGGAGCTTATGTTGAATTATATATTTTACCTCCAGTACTTTTATCTCACTCCTTCTATGATGGTTTCCCTTTCCTTTCGTCCTGTACTCCTCTTTACTCTAATGATTTTGTTGCTTTGTTTTTATGAACAATTTCACTAGCTTTCCAGTCCCTAACATTGAAACAAAAATATTTCTGCTTCATTTCTATTCCCGAAAATTATTATTCATTTAATTCTATCTGCAGTGCTTTTGCACTAATGCATTACCTAGGATACATTGCCTGCATATATTATATAATTTATTATGGAATTAATTTTTTGTATTTTCCATCTTATTTGTTAGGGGACGGTGTAAAAGCTCTTCTGGGATTCTTGGAGCAGGAGCTGAGAACACAAGGAGGGTTAACTGACTGTTTCGTTATGAGACACTTTATATATTATGTAAAGAAAAACGCAAAAATAAATTCGTTTCAACGTGAACTGATGCAAGCACAGTTGTGGTTACCAGAGATGCTGCTCTTGGTCTGAAGACAGAAGAATCAAGCAAAGATATGTGTATTTTGTTATTCATGATATTTAGATTTGGTTGATTTTTAAAATATAACATATGCAAATTGTCATCCACACTTCCGTGGAAATAAACAATCAATTGACCTGGACTGTATGGGTCTCGAACCATGTACCACTCGCGTGTGAGGCCGTGGACCCCACGTGTGTGAGGCCGTGGACCCCACGTGTGTGAGGCCGTGGACCCCACGTGTGTGAGGCCGTGGACCCCACGCGTGTGAGGCCGTGGACCCCACGTGTGTGAGGCCGTGGACCCCACGTGTGTGAGGCCGTGGACCCACGTGTGTGTGAGGCCGTGGACCCCACCCGTGTGAGGCCGTGGACCCCACGTGTGGGAGGCCGTGGACCCCACGCGAGTGAGGCCGTGGATCCCACGTGTGGGAGGCCGTGGACCCCACGTGTGTGAGGCCGTGGACCCCACGTGTGTGAGGCCGTGGACCCCACCCGTGTGAGGCCGTGGACCCCACCCGTGTGAGGCCGTAGCACTATCAACTCTACTATGAATAGTCTTAAACATTAAATGTTCCAGACCCATACAGTGCCCGTGAACGGAATATAACATATGTATTGTGGGATTGAATAGTAAAGTTAATTCTTACCTTAAAGTAATTGACATATATAAGTGACAACAAAATTAAATACAATTACCACTAAAACACTTAATTTATCTTTGTTGTCTATCTATGATTAAAATATTGTTTATATATCATACATTTCTCGATACATTATGTATTTTTTTAACAGTTTTTCTTTGTGAGTGGTTAGTATAAACTGTTTTATAAATGATTATAAGTAACTGTTAACACATAAGTAGAGGCTGCATATTTTACATTATGATAGGAAAATTTTATAAACAAAACCATATACTGTAAAGCTGACACCAAAACTAAGACTACATATAGACTGTCAAGGTACATCTCCTGTTCTAATGTAGGTGTACATGATGTGTTCATACTGATATATGCCAAACGTGATCTGCTTAGTAGACATGTTAAGAGTCATGAGAGTGAAGATGCCTATTATCACAGGTATAAAATGTCCTGAAGACTGGCACTTTATATCTCTACTACATCTAAGCGATGTGTGACAATGATTGAGACAACTCTTTCCTCAATTAACAGTGGCTCTGACACCATCGTATTCGGTGATGTAATTGCAAGACATATTAATTTAAAGGATGATCAAACAAGCAGACATGATTCAATGTTGTTTAAATTCCTTAATAAGAATAACACAACAGCATATGATCTCAACATGTGTAACACCGCCCACCTTAGGGGGTGGAATAGTTTGTACAAGCGCTAATAACTGCTCACTTTGCCATATTAAGTGCATGCACCTTCAAAGCCGTCAAATCTCAACATTATATTAGAAAACAGATAATATCTTTGACAACCTACACATGCACATTGAGTAAAACATATGATTAATATCAATTCCACATATTTATATATGATAATGCATTATAATAATAATAATAATTCATTATGTCAGGGGACAGGAAGCCAGTTTATATATACAGTACATGTTAGGCTTATATCGTGGTCCCACTCAAAGTCGAACTACTCCCCCTCCCCCAGGATGCAGCCCCACAACAAGCTTACTAACTCCTGGTTACCTGCTTACTGCTTGGTGAACAGGCGCATTAGGTCAGAGAGAACATTTCCAACCATTTCTGTTCTGTCCGGGATTCGAACCAGGAATTCTCGATTGTGAGTCGAGAACGAACCCGACTATTACCGGAACCTTATATAATGACCTTTTTAATTAAAAATGTCAATGTATTATGTGATGACCTTGTTAATGAAGTAACAAACTGCTATGATATTTGGCTGGAAACTAATTGGTCAAAAACTAAATATAGAGGAGAACAAAGGTTTGAGACTAGCACAGGAGTTGAGGGATGATAAGTAATCTATTATCACAACAGTATAGAGCACTCAAAACAACTAATATCACAACAGTATAGAGCACACAAAACAGCTATTATCACAACAGTATAGAGCACATCATACAACTACTATCACAACAGTATAGAGCACACAAAACTACTAATAATACAACAGTATAGAACGCACAAAACTATTATCACAGCAGTATAGAGCACACAAAGCCACTGATAACAGCAGTATAGAGCACACAAAGCCACTGATAACAGCAGTATAGAGCATACAAAGCCACTGATAACAGTAGTATAGAGCACTCAAAATCACTATTAACACAGCAGTATAGAGCACACAAAACACCTCTTAACACAGTAGTATAGAGCAAGCAAAATAAACTAAATATAATTTCCCGAGCAAGCTGCATTTCAGGGAATTTTAAGGAATGACTATATAGGCACTACTGGGAACAAGGCATTAACCATGTAACATCCACAGTCCAAATATGATCCACAAAACCTAATGATATGATCCACAAATATGATCCACAAAACCTAATGATATGATCCACAAATATGATCCACAAAACCAAATCTAAGATCTCAAA